TATATATTTAACTATTATGTGAAATTTTATATATTGTATTTATATATTTATGTATTATAATTTTATATTTAATATTTAAATATAAATATAAATAAAATAAAAATATTATATGTTGACTGTATTAATTTTTTTAAGGTTTGATTAAAATATAAGTAAGTTAAAAATAATTGATAAATTTTTTAAAAGAAAATATGTAAATTGTCCAAATTAGTTTCCTACACTTGATCCACCAAGCTTAATAAAAATCTTGAAAAGAAGACTTTGAAATTAATTAGACAATGAGTATTTTATAAATAATTTAATTGTTTGTATTAAAAAAGATATTATTAGTATTTTCAATACAAAATTAATAATGAATGAATTTGAATTTAAAAATATCATCGAACACAACTTTTATAAAAAATTATTATAAATCTTTATTTTTTATTTTTTTATTTACATATTATATAAAATTAGTCATTATAAATTCTTTAATTATTAATTAAATTTAACTTGTTAATTTTAAAATTTTTTAATATTTATTTCTTTTCATCTTTGATCTTTCAATAAAAGTTAATTAATTCCATCCCTGGTTATTAGTGTAGAAATGTTAGCAGTTATGTTAGCGTCAACAATTTAATGATTATACTTATCATAGTTATAAATTGGAAAGGGATAACTCAATTTATATTTCATCTCCAAATTTTGTCTGAGAACGGAGAAAATTAATCTGTAACCTATCGTGCTCGGTCTGAAGAGTGAAGAGAGACGAGGGACAGGAGGGGTTTGTCCTGATAATCCGTGAAGGTCGAAGCTATGGACATTTCATTAAGAGCAGCTCTCTGCCAGGAAAATGTTAATTTGGGACAATCAAAGACTGCAATGTGACAATGGTGCGATCATTGTCACCCTGCCAAAGGCCCAAAGGCGGCCCCAGAGAAAGATTCCCCATCGTGGTCTCGACGTCGTGGGCCTCGTGGCCGACTCAAGTGCTGATCATTGTCGTGGCCTCATGATGAACTAAACCACTACATTCATCAAGGAAAGAAATGCTCATCTCCTTACACAGTGAAACTGTAAACGTACTGAAGAGTATTGGATTACATGATGTTGCTTCTTCTATTGCTGTTTCTAATATAAAATCAGACTGTCCGTCCAGTCCAGATAACGATGAATGTAAATTTTTATATGAACAGTGATTAAAAAAATTAATAAAATAATTTTATTATATCTAAAATAAATTATATATATAATAATAAAATTAAAAAATAATAATCACTCATCACCCTTTTACCTCCACCCCTGTGTACAAGGATATATTAGACAAGTTTATTATTATAATTTATAATAAATTTTATTTATTTGATGATATTTAATAATAAAATTAGTTATCATCTTAATTATTATAATGCATTGTTCGTATTTAATTATTATTTATACAAATTTTGATATAAAATATAAATTATTTAATTAATTATGTATATATGTATTAAAGTAATATATTATATATACATATATTTAATTTATATATAAGTATTACTATAACACACACACACATATATATATATATATATATATGATTACACTTAATAACTTTATTAGTTACCACTTTAATTTTTATAACATATTATTTATAATTAATTATTATTTATACAAATTTTGATATAAAATATTATAATATATAAGTTGTGTCATTAATTATATATATTAATAAAGTAATACATATATATATGTATTATAAAAAATTAACATATTACTTACACTTATTATAAATAAGTAATTAATATTTTACAAAACAAAAAATTTAGTTAATAATTAATAACCAATATATTATAAATAAAAAACAAAATAATATTGATTTTGTTTACAATTTAATAAGATTACATATATTATATTACACATTAATGACTAATATATTATGAATATCTAAAAATATTATTATTAATAATTATTTATTTATTAATAAAATATAAAATGTTTAAAATTTCGTTGATATAAGGATTCGAAGTAGTATGTAGATGGAAAGTAAACCAACCTTTGCCAAGTGTGAGTGAAGAAACAAATGTATATATATATTTTATAATTATGAATAAAATTTATAAATTTAAATATTATAATTTATAAAAAAATAAAATTTTGATTCATTGATCTAAATTGAATCAATCAAATTATTTTTATATTTTATTAATTTGATTTTGTTATATTTAATTAATTTTAATCAATTTTTTAAAAATATTTAATTAATTTAATTTTTAGATGTAATAAATCCCTCAATCCACTCATTTACTCACCCATTTATTAGGAGGAATAAGAAAGAGGAAAAATGGCGTTGGAAATAGCTCTTTATAGACACTCCAAATTTTATTAGCTCACCAGAAGAGAATGGTGGGCTAGGCAAGGCCTATTTGAAAGCCTAGGAGAGGCCTGGAAGGCTCTCGAGTTTACCAGAAACTTCGTCCATCGAAGCCCGAAATTGCTTGACCGAGAAAGTACTAGAATCTTCCTTTGAATCCTTTAAATACCCAGGTTATCCCTCCGCCGATGGCAAGTCAAGAATTACAAGAAGCGAAGTAAATAAAGGTCCCAACTTTACTCTGAATCCAGAAACCCGTCCAACTGACAAAAAAATTCCCAGAACTTGAAACGAAAATGTCGATGATCCCAAGTTTCTTCGGCACCCGACGAAGCAACAGCTTGGATCCCTTCTCTCTCGACATATGGGATCCTTTCAAGAATTTCCCATCACTTCCCCAAGAGTGCTCTGCCTTCGTCAATACTCGCGTTGACTGGAAAGAGACCCCGGAAGCCCACGTGTTCAAGGCCGACCTTCCAGGGCTGAAGAAAGAGGAAGTGAAAGTGGAGATTGATGATGACAGGGTGCTCCAAATCAGCGGTGAGAGGAATGTCGAGAAGGAAGACAAGAATGACACGTGGCATCGCGTAGAGCGGAGTAGCGGCAAGTTCTCGAGGAGATTTAGGTTGCCTGAGAACGTGAAGATGGATCAGGTTAAGGCTTCTATGGAAAATGGGGTCCTCACCGTTACTGTTCCCAAGGTTGAAGCGAAGAAGCCTGATATAAAGGCCGTTCAGATTTCTGGTTGACGTTTGGAGTTTCTGAAACATGGAAAAATGCTACAAACAGTAATGTCATAAGGGAGTCTAATGTGTTTATCAGTGTTGGCTTTTAATGTTGTAAGTTGTCAGTAGATTATGTATTTACAATGTGGTTCAGTTCAAACTTCAAATGATGTAACAATGTAATCAGAGTTCTAGCAATGAAAGTGTGAGTTGTTCGTAATTAGTATTCTGCTTGATTACTCGATCTTTTCACTGCAGTTATTGTTTCATGATCTTCTTATAGCAATGGCCAGTCTCAAGCTTGAAGTAATGAGAAACGAACATCGACTGATATAATGTTCAAAAGCTCAGGATGAGCAAAGATAGCTTGGAGATTCGTAAGTTGGGAAGAAGACAGCCCTCGAACTTTGTTTTCTTATTCCAAATTTCAGGCATTCCCTAGCTCTAGCACAGTCTGATTAGTATCATAACACTGCTAAAGTTTCCACACACAATGTGAATGGATTGGGAGTTGGGGCAGCATTTAAGGTGGTTGTGAGACTGGTTAGGCAACAACATATTATGTCTGCGTGTGTCTGGAGCTGTGACGTAATACCCAAAGGATATCCTGCAGCTGTTCTTGCAGCCCTTGCTCTATCAAAGGGTCTCTGCATCAAAAGCAAAAGTTTCTTTTTATCTTGAAAAATATCAACAAAGAAACAAATCAAACACTTATAAACCTCAGATTTTCCTTTCCTAAGGGCAAGGATATAGCAGATGACACCGATGGGGCGAATTAGGTTCGTCCCACACAATTCAACGACGTATGAATACAAAATCTTTAATATCTTAAGAAGTACTCTTTCATCAATGACCATGTACGGAGTATACCAGCAAAACCCTCACAAATTGATCACTTTTTGACTTTTGATAAATCAAAGCAAGTAACACTAACCTCAAATCCAGTAGGCTTAATGAGACTTGGGAAATCCATAATGTTCTAGGCGTGCCATGACGTTTTCTTCAATCAATTTAGTAGAGTTCATATGAGATAAAATGAATTAACTATGCACATTACTACATTCTCTTCTTCCATGGATTTAGTAATAATGTCATAGCTATTTCCATTTTCTGCTCTTACCATTTCTGATTTCACAAATGCCATGGAGCATTTCGGCCAAGGAAAAAAAGTTTC